TATTATTGTGCATGTGTAATACCCCATTCGATTGTGGATTATTTGTGAATAATTATTGATTATTGCTATTATTAATTGTCTTTATATTATTATTATTATTATTACTATTAATATTATTATTATTATTATTATTATTATTATTATTTGTTATAAATATATATGGTCCACACCATTAATGTTATTATAAAATAATGTATGTGAATGACTATTTTTCCCCCAATGTAATTGTATTATTACAGTTGTGCCATTAGAAGTTTCCTATAAATAGGGGCTTCAGTTATAATGAAAATTGTACCTAAGAGAAATATTTTCTCTATTATCTCTCTTTCTCTCTAGTTTTATAACACGTTATCAGCACGAGTCTCTACCTTCTAAAGCTCGGTTTGTAATATGACGAGAGTATGCTCTACGGTTGCATTTTAGTGATGATCTTCCGTATCAGAAATCTAAATGTTACAAATCGTTACTTTCTTCAAGCAATTGTAACGAGTTATATCAAACTATGTACTTCGAATTTAGCCAAACCAAAAACCCATTTCAAATCAAGTATCATTCAACAAAACTCAGCCATGGCTATTTCCCTCTGATGCTCCGCTAAGATCTTCGTTGTGCTCCTCCTCAACATCTTTTCCTCGTCTCCTTCTTAAATGGTCGCCTCGGGGTGGTTCCGGTGCAAGAATACCCGTCCGAGGGTACTGGCTTGGGGAGGAATTTGTCGCTGGGACTCGTTGTCGATAGGCTGAGGAATCGGGTACTGGCCGTTATGTGATTGGGAATAAGTACAGCACCATGGAGGCCTACGATTTGACCAAGTTGGATCGAATTTTCCTCAACCTGCTCAACAAACCAGTGATAATCTGGAAAAGGTTTGATTTCTGCCTTCAATTAAACTTCTCTCCTTGAATTTTTGTTTGGTCACACGCAGTCACCAATACCCACTTGTAAATTAAACTAAAACTGGTTAATGTTAGTTGAGGTTTGGTTCAATTGTCATGAGATTTGAATGATAAAAATAATAATAAAAGAAAATGAATTATTAACAAAGTCTTGTGATGTGTGCTTCCTTAAATATTAAAAAAATATATATATAAAATAAAAATAAAAATAAATAATAATAAAAAAAAGGGAGCACAGATGAATGCATGTGGTACTGAGAAAGTTTTACATGGTCTTCAATCAATTATAGATGTTATTTTGTTATCTTATCTTCAATTATTAATTTTGTTCCATTTGTTGTTTGACAAGTGGACCATGATCATTTAGTGAAATAATTTAGTGGAGATAAATGTTATATTCTAAATATATAAATCTTGAAAGAGAGAGATAGATGAAATGTCATACAATCTTGAGACCTCTCCTCTTGCCACAAGCGTACCTGGTTTGTCAGGGATCGATACCATTCCAGAAGTTCAAACTCAGGGGGAGTCGTCTGTTGTGCCCACTTCGTTGAGCAAGTCTGCAACCAAGACGACGTCCAAGACCACGACCAAAGCAGGCGAAGAAGATAAAGAAGACACTGCTGCAACTCTAGTTGAAGTTCATTCTGATCAGCCCACGCCACCATCAAAGATACCAGTTCGTCGTTCTACTCGCCGCCGTGGCAAGGAATCCATTGATGCACCTCCCGTTCCTCCTGAACCTGAGGACGATGCTTATGATCTTGATAAAACCTTCACCAATCGGTTCTATACTGAGGCGGCTCATGAGTGCTTTATTACTATTGGTTCTTATGGTTTTTGGTCCGAACGTGCTGTGGAAGATGGTAAGTTTGCTGATCTTGGCATTCTTCGTTTAATAGAGGCTGTGGGTTTGTCTAAAACTGTGTCTGATCTTCAACCTTTCTGTGGGCAAGTTGTCAAAGAATTTTATGCTAACCTCACCCCTGCTGTGTTTGATCCCAACAGTCCCCGTTTTCACAAGCTTTTTCTTCGTAATTGCGTGCTTGATGTGTCTCCCACCCTGTTTAATATTCATCTTGGCCTGCCCTCTGATCTTGATAACTCTTCCCTCTCTGAAGTTGACTTGGATGCTATGACCAAAGTTCCTACTTCTGGTCAATTGGATACTTGGCCTGATTCTAATTTGCCTGTTAGTTCACTTTGTTTGGTTGCCAATCTGTTGCATAAGATTGGTGCTGGGAATTGGACTCCAACTTCGAACAAAACTCTTCTCACTGAGTCCCAGAGTAAGGTGATTTATTGGGTTATGATTGGGAAGGTTTTCAGTTTTGGGGATATGCTCTTTGACATCCTCCACACTTTTGTTACTAATATCGAATCTCGCAAGACCCTTCCTTTTCCCTGTCTTATTTGGTCCTTCTTGGTTGCCCACAACTTTTTTGTTAATCCTCGCTACTCGCTACCAAGATTCTCTTGAGAACCCAGGCAAAGCATTCTCTGTGAGTGCTCGTACTCTCAATGAAAAGGGAACCTCCAAGGTCGCAAGGGAACTGGCTCCCTCCTTGGTTCCTAAAAACTGGGATGAGTTTGTGGCTCAACAGCTTGGTGAAGGGGATGCGATGGCTAAAAAGGTTGCAGCTCAGCAAGCCTATCTCAAACAAGTGCTGCAGGCAGTTAAGGGGACCAAGCGCAAGACTGCGGGGACAGGCCCTTCGGCATCCCGTAGTTCGAAAAAGGGGGAGAAGGGCAGTGCTGCGAAGGATGATGGAGGATCAGACTCTGGGGGAGATAGCACAGATGATGCCATTGCCAACTATTATGATGATGAGGAATAGTGCTGTTTTATTTCTTTCCTCTCTGTGGGTTTTGAGTGCTGTAGTGAGGTCTTTTGTAATAAAGAACCTCTTATTATGTTTGCTTTTGATGATGATTTAGTACTTTGTTTTTGTGAATGATCATTCTACTTATTTTGATTATTTTGAATGAATGGATGATTGTTAGGTTCACTTTGTATTGACTGCAGGTACTGAGGGGGAGAACTGCGAGTAGAATATTTCTGTGTGATCTAACCCCTTAATGTGATTAGCTTCTTGGTGCTTGTTGTTTTAATTTCAGGAGACCTCCATGACTATTGTTTTCGAACTAGATGCCAAAGGGGGAGATTGAAAGATATTTTTAATTTGACATTAGTTCGTTAGTTCGAACAAGCACTTGGAACCATAGAAAAAGGGAAGATCTTCAAATATTTTGTTTCCTTAATTAAGTTTATTTTATATTCCATATATAAGATATTGTGGGTCTTATTATGGTATTATATTTTGTAGGAAATTGGTTTTAAAGAATTAAAGGAAGAGAAGCGTGTTTTATGAGGAGATCATGGAGAGAGAGAAAAGAGGAGATCTACTTACCTAAGATGTGCTATCTTTATGGAAGGAAATCAAGGTTGGAGTCCTTTGCCTTGTAGAAGACTCCAACCCTAAGGAGTACGTATAAATACCCTAGTGCAAGCTCTTATTGTGGCTGCTGAGTGACGAGACATTTTAGAGCAATATTCGAGCTTCACATTTCCAGCTTTTTATTTTCAGTTCAGTTGTACACATTTCAGTATGAGAGTTCTTACAAACTCAAGGACTGAAGCTGTTTTGTTTTCTTAGTTTCATCAAACTGTCGTGTGTGTTTACACTTAGGGAGTAAGTGTGTGATAAAAAGTCCACGGGACGTGGCCGGAGAAATAGTTGGTAGGATCGTGAGTAGTGTTGGATAGACTTAAAGGGAGTTTGAGTCGTTGTAAGTCCAAACTATGTTCGTGTTCGATCTATCAATGAAAGAGCTCTGAGGGGAAGTGGGAGGCTTCCCTGAAGAGTTTTTAATCTTCGGTTTATTGCTTCCGCATTTTTAAGTTCTTGTTCTAGTTCGTACTATAAACAGCGCACTCCGTACAATTATACGTTTCAGCTATGTTAATTTTGAGGCTGCTGTATATGGAAAATCTTGTGCTGAAAAGTATGTTGAAAATCAAATTTTATGTTCATCTACAAGGCCTTTATGCTGTGCTTAGAAGCGTTAAATTTTGAAGCAAAAGAAGAGCTAGTATATTGGTGGTGTTGTGCCTTCATTTTGTTGATCAGGCTGAGCCAATTATATGTTATTTTGGGCTGAAAAATCATGAGTTTAAAGTGTTAAAATTTCAGTCAAGATTCAACTTTATACATGCTCTAAATTTTGAGAAAAGAGGTGCTTGAACTAGAGTATTTTGCCTTGGTTGTTTTGATACTTAGAGGCTGCTGTTTTTCGCTTATGTTCATGATGGTTTTGTGCTGATTTATGTGTTGTAAATCAGAATTTTAGGATCAGTTAGAAGGCCTTTTGAGGTGCTCAAATTTGGTTAATTTTTTAAGAGGAAAAGAGAAGGTGCTTATGTGAACTTTAGCCTCGGTTTGTTTGAATTGTGCTAATCCTCTTATCCGTGATTTTGGCCGAGCTTAGTTGAGTTTTATGGCTTAAAAAGTTGGCTTTCGTGGCATGCTAGACTTAGTTGAAATTGAGGAGAATTAAGGTGCTTGTTTGGAGGCCTTAATATTGCTATGTTCATAGCTTGTTATTGAGCCTTAATTTCATGTATTTCATGCTGAATATGTGATTTGAGACGCTTAGTTTCAGTCATGAAAAATTAGAAATGCATGTCTTAGATTATGAGAAAAAGAGGTACATGTTATGTGTTAGTTTCGGCCTTGATTTGATTACCTTTCTCAGCCTTGGTTTTGTTGCATTTCATGCTGAAAATTATGAGTTTTGAGGTGTACAGATTCAGTCAAGTGGCAAGTATACGCATGCTAATTGTTTTTTAGAAATTTATTGCAAAGGAAGAACATGTTACATATGTTGTCTGGCCTTGATTGAATTCGTGATAAACAAAGGTAAATATTATGATTGTTAAACGTTTGCTTTGTTTTTTAGCATTGTGTCATGTAGTTTATCTGTTTCTCTAGTTAATAATGATATAATGTACATGTTGCTATGTTTTAAGCTGTTTATCTAATTTGTAACATTATATACAAAGGTCGATATATTGAACCCAGGCCTAACGTTTATGCGCGCTCTATGGACGAGCAATTTACTAAATACACTCATGTCAACGTCGACTTGGACATTGCAACTAAGAGAGCTGCTTTAAGAGCTTCAGCTTCAGTTGTCGGCCTTATTTCTGTGCGTCGAGAAGGTGTGTTTTGTGTAGTTACAATAGACTTCATAAATAAAGAGTATTTATGTTGTAATGCATGTAGTATTACATGTAGTCCAGTACAAGCAAGTTTGTTTTGATGTGTTTTGACGTGTCTACGACTATCAGATTGTGTGTTACATTTAAACTCCTTTATATATATATATGCAGGTGGGGAAACATTATTCAATGCTTCAGGAACTATATATGAGACTTCCGAGAATGGGGATGGCAAATACTTGAGCAGAATAGTTACATCTGCGAGTCTCTTTGGTTCTGTTGCTCATAAAGATATTTATATCAAGGTATAAACAGTTTCCTTTATGATGCGCCTATATGATAGAGGGACCGTTCAACCCGAATTTAATATAACTCATATTCGAAGAAAACTAGCCCATCTGGATATGATAAAATGTTTAAAATGATGAAACGCCAATAGCTGAATTTGGCATAGAACCTCAGTGGCTTTCATATAGGAAAACAAGAATGACATTGATTAACAAGTTTTATATGCACAATAAAAATGTGGGTCAATAATGTTCCCTTGGACTATGGCAGGTCTTTACTGCTGGAGGCATAGTGTTTGACGGCATTGTTATGGGACATGATGCACACTATAACCTTGCAATCATCGATATAATCTCTGATGTGCTACTGCCTGCTGCAAGGTTGAGGATTTTAGATGACTCAGTCTCTTTAGATCCAATATCGGTTCAGTGTAGTCTGGACAATGCACGGCCTCATTCAAGGAAGTTCAAAATTTGCGCAGGAGATATGTTGGTAGCTTTGGGGCGATCTTGCAAAAATTTTGATATCATGTCTGCAGCTGGCAAATTAAGGTAAATTGGTCGGATGTTTTTATTGTTGAAAAATAGTATTTGCATTTTTCTACGCTATAGAAATGTTAGTGTTTGGTTAAAAATGGTGTAGCTGAAAGAATCACCTATGTTGTGTTTTGCTTATAGTTCAGTTGCATTGTGAATGAGTAACTCCTGATTGGTTTGACAAGTGCCATCTATACACGGTGCCTTAGGAGAATATTGTTAAACATTTGGATATGCTTGACTAGAAACTTATCTCGTTTTCATCAACTTGCAATCTGTTCTTGTTATGCCAATGTCTCTTACATGTTGTTTTTCTGGTCTTGATTATTGCGGATATGATTGTATGGAGCTAATGATGGCGACATGCATAATTACCAAGGTGTGTAATACGAAGTTATTCTCATATTTATTTTCTTATTTAAGTATATTAGTTACTAATTTACTCTTATATAATATATACATCTCGATGATATTTTGTTTTTGCTAGCCTGGTATTGGTGGACCTATTGTCAATTGCTACGGTGAAGTGATTGGTGTAAATTTTATGAATGAAAAATTCACTCCATTCCTCGCCACGAACATAGTGGACAAATGGCTCAATCTCTTCACTGGGCACAAAAAAGAAGTTCGACCTTGGACTGGGGTGGTGTTGGCGACCAACCTGTATGCAGCAAGACTACGCGATTTAGAGCATATTGTGTTGGGAAATAAGGTCGGATAAGATGGAATAATAATAATACACCAACGTAAAATA